GATGACTGAGGTGAGGAAGGTGACTGAAGTGAGGAGGGTGATGGAAGTGAGGAGGGTGACTAAGGTGAGGAGGATGACTGAAGTGAAGAAGGTGACTGAGGTGAGGAGGGTGACTGAGATGAGGAGGATGACTGAGGTGAGGAAGATGACTGAGGTGAGGAGGGTGACTGAGGTGAGGAGGGTGATGGAAGTGAGGAAGGTGACTGAGGTGAAGAGGATGACTGAAGTGAGGAAGGTGACTGAGGTGAGGAGGGTGACTGAGGTGAGGAGGGTGACTGAGGTGAGGAGGGTGACGGAGGTGAGGAGGATGATGGAGGTGAGGAGGGTGACTGAGGTGAGGAGGATGACGGAGGTGAGGAGGGTGACTGAGGTGAGGAGGGTGACTGAGGTGAGGAGGGTGATGGAAGTGACGAGGGTGACGGAGGTGAGGAGGGCGATGGAGGTGAGAGTGGAGCCCTGGGGTGCCAGCAGGGGATTTGCAGAGGCGTGTCGGGCGGGCCTGTGCAGGGAGGGACCGCAGCGGGTTTGGCCAGGGACGGGCCGTGCCACCCACAGCTGGCCAGGACGGCTCCCCGGCGGGTGGACGTCTGGCCCTCAGGCCAGCGAGGGGCAGGTGTGTCCCAGGGGTGGGGGCGGCGGGCCTCGCCTGGGGTCGGGGCAGCACCCGCGGGCCAGGGGACCACCGGCCCCCACGGTGCGGGGACATGGGACCCGCCCGTGTCCCGCAGACGCACCGGCCGCCCCGCGTCTCTGAGGAGCGGAGCTGCCTGGCTAATTGAATCGCCTCTTAAAGCCTAATGCCCTGTGTCTGGTCACCTCCAGATGAGACCGCTCCCGTCCCCTTAGGGCCCATCGCGTTTAATGTTCTGATCGCTCTTAAGCGAAGGCAGCGTTTTGGCCTGTGGCCCGCTCTGCGCCCGGGGGGCCCAGCCCTGCACGGCTGTTTGGCTGTACGTCCCGGCCCGGCCGCGTGTTTATTCCGGCAGCTTCTGCGCCGCTGCCTGGGCGTCCTACACAGGTGACCGGGATCTAATCGAGTCGGCCATAAACGGTAATTAATTAATCGGCGTTTCCCTCCCGGAGAGGTCAAGCTGCCCGAGCTGATCCTGGGGGCCGGCGCAGCCTCCCCCTCTCCTGAGTCCCTCTGGAGGTCGCACGGTGACCTTTATCCTGCTGATGGAGCCGTAATTGCCGCCATTAACGTCGGCACAACGGCCTCAAAAGCGGCTCCTGAGAGCAGGTCGGGCTCCGGCCTCCAGGGGGCTGGCCGGGGAGTGCTCAGCGTGGCCCCTGGGGTGGCAGTCCCCCAGAAATGTGCCGGGAGCCGCTCCGAGGGGACCTGGGCTCTGGCAGGGACCCCACCCCCACACCAGTGGCTCCTTTGGGCCCCTGGAGCCCAGGATCCGAAGAACGTATCTCGCTGCGCTTCCGCTGTGGCCCACATGGGCCGGTGGTTGTCACTCCCTGGGAGGGGTTCCCACTGGCAGGGGCCTGACGGAGTCTCTGCACCTCGTCTGTTCTCGGAGGTCAGATTTTAGTGCCTTTGGTGGCACTTGCCACCAGACCTTCCGTGGCCTCACAGCGTGGCCTGCAGAGCGGGTGACAGGTGAGGCCAGTGCCTGGCTCCGCCACGCCACAGCCAGCAGACGGGCAGCAGTGACACGCCCAGGTGCCACCGAGGGACACCTGGGAGATGAGACGGGGACGCACTCACTGAGGACAAAGTAGCGGCCTGGGCAGGAGCAGGAACAAGCAAGGCGCTCAGAGAGGCGCTGGCGGGACCCGCTTGCGTGGAGCCGCAGGAGAGGTGGCCAAGAGGACGGTCCCTGCCTGGGCACAGAGGGAAGGCTTCGGCCCGGGCAGCGGGCAGCGGGCGCGGGGAGACGTGGAGGAGGGTGCGGTCGTGAGGCCCTGGGTGTCTGGAGCAGCAGAGGACAAGGTCCCAGTGATGTCTGGAGCCCGCCATGTGCTGGACTGAGAAGCAGACTGCAGGGCAGAGCGGCGCCAGGGACTGGCGGGTCCTGCAGCCAGCCAAGCACAGAGGGCGGCCTGGGTCCTGGGAGGGCAGCCAGGCAGCTGCCCACGGGGAGGACTCGAGGGGGACCTGGGCCCCCTGCACCGATGGGGGCACCCGTGGAGGGACGGGGGACTCTGGCCCCAGGTTGGGGATGGGGCCGCTCCCCGAGGGGGAGGCTGAGCTGGAGGAGGGATCAGGTTTGGGGGACCCAGAGCCCCACGTCCTAGGCACAGCTTGGAGGTGTCTGCAGGAAGCTGGGGCAGGGCCTGGCCCCAGAGGAGGCGGCAGGTGGGAGCCCAGGGGCTGGAGAGGACGGGCCGCGGAGGGGCTGGTGACGCCAAGGGAGGGAGGTGTCCCAGGCAAGGGCTGTCATGGTGGCAGGGACAGAGTGCAGGCCTGGCCTTCAGCACACGTGGAGCAGCCGTGCGGCAAGGGCTCTGGGCCGACCCAGTGCCGAGTGGACCCCAAATGCCACTCACAGCAGGACAGCGAGGCCTCCCCTGCCGGCCGGGCCTCCCCATGCCAGTTTCTTTAGGGAAAAAGTGAAAGCTCCTGGGGCTTTTCTGGTCCCCAGGCGTCCCCTGCACTGGGGGTCTGGGCGGGGGAGGGCCCCGCCTTGCTTCCGTGTAACCCTCCCATTGCCGCCCTGTGAGCAGACTGGGGGTTAGGGGGACCCAGAGCCGGAGTGCAGCTGGGGGCCAGGGCGGGGGCGGCGGCAGGTGGACTCAGGTGCAGACGCGTCTTGAAGGCAGGACTGCGGTGGGCGTCGCTGCTGCGGAGACCCAGGGGTCACTGGGGGAGTGCGGGGGCTGGTCGGGGGGGGCCGACCCCCGACCTCTGTCTGGAGCACGAGGGGTGGGACTCTCGGGAAGGGCAGCAGCAGATTTGGGTCAGGTCTGAGGGACGTGACAGCAGCAGGTGGAGGTGGCAGGGCCGGCAGGTGCAGAGCCCACTGCGGTCAGCGTGGTCGTCGCCGTGGGGACCAGGCACTCCGCGAGTGGCAACAAAAGTGTCCAGATGGTGCCACCCACATGGCAGCCGGACACCCCTCGCAGGCCTGTCCCACGTGGCCGACAGCCTGTCCCGAGTCAGAGCCCGAGGGAGGGAGAAGTGACGACCCAAGAGAGAGGCGCGGTGTGGGCTCCTGGCTCGGGTGCACTGGGTCTAGAAGGTTCCCTGCTAGGACTGGGGGCGCAACTCCCCTTCCGGCGTGAGGCTGAAACGCAAACCAAACGCAAACTTTAAGCCATTCCTCGTGGATGTCTCTCTCCTGCCACAGAGAAGGTCTTGGGCGGGTCCGAGCCTCGTTCTCTCGTGTCCTCGGGCAGGGACGGTGTGGAGGGGACCGGCCGGCACGGGCAGGCGCCCCACATGCAGACGGCGTGGGCTGAAGACTTTCCCGAATCCGTGAGGTTCCCCGTGCTCTTCCCAGGTCCTGGGGGCAGACAGGCGATTTCCGTGGCGTCCGTGCTGCCCGGCAGGAGCGTGGTGGCCGCCACCGCGGCTCTGCTCGCCCTGCCTGGGCCGCGGCGTCTCGCCAGCCGAGGGTCGGGGCCTGAAGCCACTGCAGCGGCCGCCACAGGGACCACGTGTCCTTAGCGCTCCGGCCGGGCCCTCCGGAGCGGCCACCTCGCCGTGGGCCTGGGGCTCAGCCCGTGGGGGGCAGGGCCGGCGTCCTCATCGCCCCGGGGGTGCCGACAGAGGACGGGTCCGAGGCCGCCCCGCCGGAGTCCGCGCGGGAGCCGCCAGTGCGTTAAGTGGAAACTGTGGCGTCAGCAGCGAGGTTCCGGCCACTGCCCGGGCCGCGAGGAGTGCTCGGACAGCAAAAGCTAATGGGGAGAAGAAGGACATTAGCAAGGGGTGTCCTTGCAGAAGGAGAGACTTTGCTTTTTACAACGCACCGTAACGATGAAATTAAGACACCTCCGAGAGAAATAACTCTCCCACTTGTAATGCGGAAATACTTCTGGGGCCCGGCGCCCCCCCAGGCCTCTGCTGGGCTCCGGGGAAGGGGCGTCAATGCCTCCGGCCCCTGGGCCCGGCCAGGGCAGGAGCAAGGACAGCCACTCGCGACCCCGGGGGGCCCTAGCGTGACGCCCACCTGCCCACGGCCGCCTGAGGGGAAGCTGACCCCGCAGGACGTGGGCTCCTGCCCGGCCCCTCACTGGGTCTCCTCAGTCTTCCGACGAGCTGATGCCCCATGGAGACCCTCGTCCGTGGCCACCGCCCGGCCTGGCCTCTCCTTCAGAACCCCCCACCCAGGGAGCTTCAGCCCGCAGACCTCTCCGAGTCCCTCAGCCCCGGCCCCCCAGGACGGCGGGCTCTGATGCGCGTTTGAGCTTGGGGTGGGGCCCGCACCAGCCGAGCGTTGGAGGGGCCACCTGGAGCTCCACCGACGCCGGTCCCCCTGGAAGGGGCGGAAGGTGGCCCAGGGCTACAGCTCCGCCTGTGAAGGGACACCCCCACCCCCGCCCCTCCCACCTGGGGCCCTGGGCGAGGAGGGAAGGAGACAGCAGGGTGGGCAGGGCGGCCTTGCCCTTCTGAGGTGCCTGAGGACCTCGGGGTCTCCTAGGGCCGGTGGGGGGGTGCGCCCGGCACTTGCCCAGCTCGGGGCCTCCTCCCTGCGCAGGCTGTGCTCGGAGGGTCTGTCTGGCCTCCGTCCCTGTCCCTCCCCTGGAGGTCAAGCGCCTCAGCCAGCAGGGGCTGCAGGGCATGGGGAGACCCTCCCGACCCCAGGGCATTGGCCAGGCAGGCACTGGGGGTGTCTAGGATCCCCCAAGTACACGACCCTGCACACTCAGGCTGCCCGGAGGGGGCACCCAGGACAATGGGGTCCTTGGCCGGGCCCCACCCGGAGATGGGGCAGCCCCCGGGCTGCACGGCCGCCCTGCCGACCGCCTCGGCCACGGAGCCCGGGGAGCAGCCTCGGGAAAGGCTCTTCCGGCCTGAGCCTCAGCAGCGGCCGGGCCTCCTTTCTCCTCAGCCGGGGCCCAAGCGCCCTGCCGTCCCGGGACCTGCCAGCAGCGAGTGAAGCAAGGCTGCGCAGAGTTCACCGACATCTTCCTGGGCCCGCCCCCTCCCGGGTGCCGCCCCTTCCTGTCCCTGGACAGCCTCCACCAGGTGAGCACCAAGGCTGGGGCGCTCGCTGCCCACCTGGCTGCCCCGACACCCAGGCCTCGGGCGTCCGGCGTGCAGGGCAGAGCTCCAGACCCTTCTGAGCTCTGCCCCTCCCCTCCCCTGCCCCATCTTTCCAGGGCGCAGAAGGCAGGTGCAGAGATGTCCCTGGGGGGACGACGCCCTCAGAAAAGGAGCCACCAGGAGGCAGCAGGTAGGAGGGGTCCGCAGCTAACAGGCGGTTGGGGGTGGCTCTCACCAGCCACGGGTCACAGGCAGGGCCGTGGGTGCCGCCCCCCAGCCTGTGAGTCTGCGCACCTCCCGGGTGCTCGTTCATGGCCAGGGCCGTGCTGGGGCACACCTGCGGGCCCTCCCGGCCTGCAACACAGAGAACCCATGGGCAAGGGGTCTGCCCAGGAGTGGAGGTGCCACCCAGCCCCAGCCTCTGTGGTCTGGAGAGAGAGGGAGGACCTGCTCTGTGAGGAGCAGAGGGGCCCGGCTGGGAGGCGGTGCCTTTGCAAGGAGCCGAGCTCCTGGCCGACAGCGCCCTTGGCGATGCACCCCCATGGGCCAGAGTGGGCGCAGCAGGAGCGTCCTGCTTCCCGCAGCCGGGTCACCGCCGGCCCCACGGCCCAGAGTCCCCAGGGGAGACTGGACGGGCTGCTCGGGAGGCTGCAGGGTGGGAGGGGCGGGGGCTCCCAAGGGAAGACGGCGGGGCCCAGGGCTGCGCTCCTGGAGGGTTCAGGGGCCGGTCCTGGGCCAGGCTGCGCGCCATGAGCACAGCTCCCGTCAGGGGCCATAGCAAGCCCGCTTTACAGAAAAGGAAACTGAGGCACAGGGACTTGGAGTTCAGCGGCATCTCGCCCAGATGGTTTGGGTTATTGCTGACGGATCAGGGAGGGCTGCACGCCTGGGTGCAGGGGGGGGCGCGGGGGGGCACAGAAATGCCCATCTGTACCCCTGGGGACACGCTCCTTCCCCGCACGGGGCCGGGCCGTCCCTTCAACCCCGCTGGGGTGGAGACCACTCAGCAGGACTGACGCCCACCTGCCCGCCAGACCCCACCCGAGAGCCCCACAGGCCTTGCAGGGCATGGGGTCCCCGAGGAGCCCAGGCGTACTGCCCCACGTCCTCTGGGGCAGCGGGAGGTTTGCCACCCCGATGGGAGCAGAACATGGCCATGACACAGGCCACAGCCCCGGAGGGGAAGTCCTGCTCTTGGGAGGCGTGAGCCCTCCTGAGTCAGGGCAAGCCCAGGGCCTCAGGCCAGGTGGGCCAGGTGAGCGGGTGGGGGGCAGAGAGCAGGGCCCCTAGGTAGCCAGAGGAGAGGGCAGGGCAGGAGCAGAGGAGTCCCCAGTACCAGGTCTCCAAGGCCACCGCGCCCGGGACAGCGACCCTCAGGCCGCCTGTTCGTGGCCAGGTCAACACAGCCGTGCCAAAGAGCAGGGCCGCGGCAGGCGCGCGGCGAGCCTGGGGAGAGGGGCTGAGTGGCAGAAGGGGCCGCGGCCCCCACCCGGACTGGTGCCGCCCGAGAAGCTCCCTGCAATTAGGTTGCTCATCCGTGACGCCACGGGCGGGCGTGGGACGGGCGGGCGTGGGACGGCAGGCGGGAGCGCGGGGCTGGCGCGGGCTTGGCGGGCTGACAAGCCTTTGATCTGCTCGCGAGTGGCTGCGGGCTGGGTAGAGCCGCCCTCCCCTCCGCGTCGCTCTGAGTCACGGCTTGCGAGCTAAACACGGAGGTCGCTTCACACACGCACTCAAGGGGCGCAGGCAGAGAAACGCCGAGGCCCCGCAAGCCGGAGGACCCCCACTCGCCCCAGCTTCAACCAGCAGACCCGGCGCTGGTGGCCAGTGTGCGCAGACCGCGCTCCGGCCGGCGTTGCCGCTGGCGCCGAGGTTGACGGGGGCGCGTCTCGTTGCAGCAGAGGAGGGCTCGTGCCGTCCTCCTGCCGAGAAAAAGGAGGGAGGGGCCCGCTCACCCCCGTCCCGGCCAGTGCCCACAACGGGGTTTCGTGGCCCCCCAAATCAACCGTCCACAGACTGGGATTATCGTAACCCAGGGGAGTCGCGACAGCAGAATCGGGGTTTGCACTGTGAACGCCCCCCGCCCCGAATGTCCCCATGCAAACCTGCCCTCAGCTGCACTGCGGGGCCCTTGCTGAGCCCCCACGGGGTCGGTTGCTCTCAAGACGTCTTCCAGGGCCTCCCCAGCTCTCTCCCCACCCCAAGACCCTGCCCCCCGAGCCATCTGGGTGTTTATGTGACCCCCCCAGAGAAAAGTGTGGGGGGGACCCTGCCCAAGGCCCCCAGTGAGTTCCCCAGAGCTCCTGCCTTGACACAGGTGGGAAGGGACCCCGAGATCCTCCACGGCACTCCTCCTGCGGGGGGCTTTGTGGGGGGCTCCAGCTCCAGCACCCAGACCTGGCTCAGGACCCAAAGATCCCAGCTCTGGACCCCTAAGAAACCGTCCTGCCCAGCGAGCCAGGCCCCAGCCCGTCAAACACACTTGGACTTTCGGACACTGCCGTCTGGTCTGCGTTTAAGAAATCCGGCGGGGCCGTGACTGTCTCTCCCAGGCCGGCCCCCACCCCAGGCAGGGCACAGGGCTTGCTGTCCGCGGGCGGGGCCGGGGCAGGGGCGAAGGACGGACGCTGCCGGCACCCAGCGTGCGAAGGACAGACCCCAGTTGGGGTGCAGGGGTGCCCGCGGCCGGCTCTCGGCGGGTCCTCTGGGCTCAACCGCACCAGCAGGGACTCGGGGCTCTGTCACTATCGCCCTGGACTCCCAAGGGAGCCTCGAGTCCGAGACCCCCCTGGTCTCCACGGCCCCAGCCCTGTCCCCACACAGCGTGGACCTACAGGTGCCACGTCTGCCCGGGGACCAGCCAGGCCTGTCTCGGGGCCCTCCCTGCAGCGGGCTCTGCCGCCTGCTCCGCCTGGGGGTCCCCCGAGCACCACGGGGCCTTTTCCACCTGGGATGTTCTCGGCCCCCGACACACAGACGCCCCCATTTACCCAGGACTCCTGAGACGCAGCCTCCTGGGGGGGGGCCCTCTCGCGGCTCTGCCAGGGCCCCGAGGGCTGCAGACCTTCCTGCGGCGAGCGTGAGGCCTGGGGACGTGGCCTGCTGGGCCTGGCCCGGCTGCAGGTCCGCCCGGGTCACCCCTGGGCCACCCTCTGGCTTCCCCAGGCGGGTGGGCGCAGAGTGGCCGCCACACCCTGTGTCACTCAGGACTGCGCGTCCCTCTGTGTCTGGGGTCTGGGGTCTGACCCCCAGTCCCGGGGGAGGGACGGGGCGCACGGCCAAAGGTCGGGCAGAGGCTCGGAGCTGCCTCATCCGTGGCAATAGACAGAGCCCAGGGACGCAGGCCACGGACTTGAGGCCACCTGGGAAGCCGCCACGGCCACGCTGGCTCACGACGTTTCCACGCCCACCTCAGGGCGAGTCCGTCCTCCTGTAAGGCAGCGGGGACTGAGACGTGAACCGCAAACCCCACACGCTTGTCTCGGGGCTGTCACGGGGAACTCACCGCCCGCACGGTGGCTTTGGCCCCTGGGCGTCTCCCGCAGGGACCCGGCGCAGGCCGGCAGCAGCGTTCCCGCAGCCGCTGGTGTCCGTGAGCAATGGGGTGACTGACCAAGGGTGGCGCCGGGAACCCCGTCCGGGCCCGGAAGTAGCCACAGCCCGGCCCTCCCACCTGCCTGCCCGGCCACCGGCGCGTCCTGCCCGCGACCTCTCCAAGCCCACGTGGGCCGCCCAGGCGGCTCCAGACACCACACGAGGACAGGGCCCTCCACGTCCAGGGGGCGCAGGGTGACAGCCGCCCTGTGATCCCAGGAGCCGCGGTGTGCGTAGCGAGGGAGGGTGCTCAGCAGACGCTGCCCTTGGAGAGGACTTTCGGCCGCGATTCCGGAACGTGTCCTCTGACTAGGACGTCACCCCTGGGCCCCCTACGGTGGGGTGTGCCGGGGGGAAGCGGCAGAGGGTCGCCCAGACGCCTGCCCCGAGGTCTTTGTGGGCACAGAGGCTGGTGTCCACCCCTGAGAGCCCGGCCCGCCCCCCACGCAGGCTCCGCCCCTGCACTTGGGGGTTCGGACGCCCACGCGCCTGGGAGACCCCCAACCACCCAGCCCATCCAGCGAGGTCCGGGAGCGGCAGGAGGAGCCACCGGCCACCCGGGGCAGATGCAGTGGAAGGGCCGCAGCGGCCCTGCCCTGTGTCCGCACTGGCCGGGGGCCAGCGGGGTGCGGAGGGGGCGGGAAGGGGCTTCCGCGCCGTGCTCAGAGTTTGCTCCCCGAGCTGCGCCCCGAGTTGCATCCCTCGGCCCGACCAAGGAGGAGATGGATGGGTGGGGGCGCTCCCTGTGGGGCGCGGGGGGGGGGGGCTGGGCCCAGACGCGCGGGCGCTGCACATGCAGCCGCCCGCTTCCCCGGGAGAGGCCGCGCTTCCGAGACGGCCTCCTGCCGCATTCCTGCGGAGACATTCCAGGCGCGTTACGGAATTCCACCACACGACAAAGGGCCCCGTCCGTTCCTGAGCAACGTGGAAACTATGTCAGCCGCGGACTCCGCCGGACTCGGTTTCATGCATGTGGCCGTGAACTTGTCCGGCCACACGGGAGAGTTCCACGGGAGGGGTGGGGGTGGGGCTGCGTCTTCCCCAGAAACCCTAAATCCTACCCGCATGCTCGCGATGGGAGCGTGCAGCCGCCTGCAAGCCGTGGGCCCGGGCTGCGGCCCCACCGGCTGGTGCCGTGCGCGCGAAGTCTGCCGCCACGACCTTGCGCACAATTGCTCATCATCTCGGCTCTCGGCAAGGACGGGCTCGCTCCTCGCAGCCCTCCCCCTCCTCCCCGGCTCGGAGAAAAATGGGTTTAATTAAGACTTCCGTGATTAGTCATTTAATCAGTCATTAGGCCAACACAGATGGAGTCAATTAATCTTTTTTACTTGAAAAGATAGTTGATGCTCGGAGCCCACACCGCCCCCGCCTGGCGTGGGGTCGCGGTGGCTGCCGCGTGGCCCGGTCCCCTTGCCAGGCTGCCCGCGGCTGGGGCACCGGCACAGCTCCCGGTGGGCAGACCCGGCGTCCTGGGCCCCCCGGCCACCTGGGGCCTGGACGCACCATGGCAGCCACCTTCCCTCGTCTGCACCGAGCGCAAGTTGGGAGCAGCCGCGAGCCAGCCACCGGCCACGGGCACCTGAGACCTCTGGGCAGGAACCGCCAGGGTCAGCGGGTCTGAAAGAGGGCAGGGCTCGGGGGCGACGCCCCCTCCTCGCGCCCGGGCGAAGCGGCTCACCCAGCAGACGTGCCAGTCCCTGCCCAGCGGCCGGCGGCCGGACAGCGCTGCCCCAAGGTGGAGGCTCAGCCCCAGGCCGCGGGGTCCCAGGGCCGGGCAGGGCCTCCGCTGCCCGAGCTTGTCCTGGGCGCGGCTTCCAGAAGCTCCTCTGGGTGGGAGTTCAGGGAACAACAAGAGAAAGGGGTTGATCGGGTTCTTCAGTTCTTTGGAAACTTTCGGAGATTGAGAAGTGAGCCCTGTCTTGTCCGAGCAGGAATAATAAACCAAAGCAGGTGTGAGCGCCGGGGCGGGAACAGCTGGCCTGCGAATGTGCCCGGGCCCGGCCGCCCTAATCCCCCCGCAGCGGGATGTTTCCCGCTTGACGCAGCCCTGGAATAATAACCCGGCAGATGGGGGGGCTGGGGCAGGGGCCGCCGTTAACCCTTCCCGTGCCCACCGCCAGCGAGAGCCCCTCCACAGGAGAACCCCCAAACAGCACCCCACGGCCTTCCAGGGCCTGACACCGCTGCCTGCTGGGGACAGGGCACCCAGGTGGTCCTTGGCAGTCCCCTCTCCCCCCAGGCCTGGGGCCGGGGTCCAGCCGTGACCTTCCAGGAGCCGGGACAGAGTCACAGAACCACCCCCAGGCCCCCAGCCCGAGCAGGGCCTGTGCAGAGGGGCCTCCCGGGCCGGCCCCGCTGCTCCGTCTGAGCCCATGCCCCCGTCACTGCCGCTCACCAGAGAGCACAGGGGCCTGGAACCTGCCATTTCGTGGGGTGCTGAGGAGGTGACGGTTTCCAGCTTCCCCGAGTCAGCACCAGCCTGCGCCACACGTCGCCGGCCGTCCTAATTGTGGGGCTTTCGCATGGGGCCTCCGTGGGGGCTGCAGAAAGACTCGGGGCATCCTTCCCGCGTGAGCAGGCCAGGAGAGCCGTGTCTGCACCACTGCACCCCTCGGAGACGGCTCTGCCCAGTGACGGCTCGACCCGCTCTTGCCCAGGCGGCTCCCAGGTCCCCGAGCCCGTGCGTCTGTCAGTGCCGCAGGCTGCGTGTGGCCCCTCGTTGCCCAGATCTGCAGGACACCCGGCCCCAGGCCTGGGCCCTGACCGCACGAGTGGGCTCTCTCCTCCTGGGGCCCAGAGGCCTGGCCAGGCCACACGAGGGGTCCCCGAGGCCTCGCGCCCCTGGCCCGGCCGGCAGCCACTGGTCACAGGCCCAGCTCTTGGCTCCCCGACCCCGGTCGGGGTTCAGGGAAGCCACACCCCCAAGTCCTGCCTGAGGAGCGTGCCCTCGTCACACACCGGAAAACCACGGACGGGACAGTGAGGGCCAGGCCAGGCTGGACCAGGCTCAGCCTACACTCTCCCAACCCTGGGATCCCCGGACCCCTGCACGGCCAGGGGCAGCCAGGTTCTCAGATCCAGCCTGCGCCCCGGGGCCCCCAGGCCCACCCATCCAGATGGGAGCAACGCGTCCTGCGTCTGCTGGGCTGTGGGGACAGGGTCCCCCCGGGCTGATGCCCACTCCCTGGTGCCTCGCGCCGTCCTCAGCTGCTCCAGCAAAACCAGGGCCTCCAGCTTCCCCAAGGCCCCGGCTTCCCGGCCTTTGTCCTCCTGACCCCAGCCCCTCGGGAAGCGGCAGGCAAAGAGAGAGGCGGTGCCACGCACCCCCAGCACGGTGGGCAGGCGCCCTTGGGCTGATCATGCACAGATGCCCGGGAGGGGCTTTGTGGCTTCTCGGAGCACCTGCCCTAGGAAGGGTGCAGGCGGGAGGCCACCGAGGCCACGAGCCTGCAGGAAAGGCAAGGCAGGGTCTCTGTGTGGAGCACTAGCCACGTCCGGGACAAACAAGAGGCACGGCCGAGAGGGAGCAGGACGTGCCACCCGGTGGGCCTGGCAGAGCCGGCGCCTCTAGGTCCCGGTAGATGCACGGGGGGCCACGCCTGCCACCAGCGCCTCACGGTCTGCCGGGGGCCACGGGCTTGGACGGTCCGACCCCATCTCCGGTCTGCGAAGCTGCTAACCGCCTCCCCAACGGCTCGCTCCCCACGGCCCCGGCCCGAGGCCAGCAGTGGCGCCCACGGCCTGTGCACTGTCACCTGTGCGGCTCCATAAACATGGCGACAGCCACAGCTCTGTCACCGGCCGGGCGGGCGAGGGGTCAGGACACGTGACGTCACCCAGCCTGAAGTCCAGGCTGCCTGTGCCCTCACCCAGGTCCCAAGACGCTGACCGGCACCAGGCCGGGCCCCGAAGGCCAGCGCAGAGCAGGACCGGGCGGTGGGGGCAGCCAGCGTGGAAGGTGGCAGCAGGGCCACGTGGAGAGCAGGACACACCTGGGATCCTTGTCATCCGTCACTTCGCCCAAGGCTGGCGGCCACGTGGCTCCTGGGCCAAGGTGACACCGGCTGGCCTTTCGTCCCCCCACGGAACACGGAGCCCCCCTGGCCCCGCCCCGCACGGTCACTTGTCGCTGGACGCTAAACGCCGCTCCTCAGTCTCCCCGCAAATTCTGGACGTCACTGTTTGCCGCAGGCTCCAGATTCCGGAATCTTCCCCGCTTTCCCAAAGCCACACGCAGTCTGCGCGGCCCCACAGCGGGCTATGGAGCAGGACGGGCGGTTCCATCCCCGCGAGGCACGTCAGGACCGGGGTCTGCTAGCACGGTGCAGATAGAGGGCAGGGGTCTGGGCGCAGGCGACGGAGGCCTCCCCGGGCTCGGGCGGCACGGCCCGGGCTGTGAGCGCGCCGCCCCTCAGAGCACGGCAGTCACACCTGCGCGGGCCACGGTCTCCGTGGGCCTCTGCCGTCCGGGGCTGCCTGTGGCCCTGGGGCCGCTGCCCCGGTCGGGCTGTGCGCGTGGCGCCCCAGGGCCCCCCGGGCCGGGCGTTCAGGGGCCTCCTCCTCTCCCCACAGGCCCCTCGGGACGGCGTCAGCAGCAGAGCCGGAGGCCGCGCTCCCAGGTAGGTGGGCAGCCGTCCTCCGCGATCTGACTCCACAGCGTCTGGGGAGGCCACCGAGCCTCAGCTGGGGAGGCTGGCGCAGGGGGGCCCAGGGCTGCCGGGGGGCGCCGGCCGGGGCAAGTGGACGACGGCCTGGACGGGAGGCCCCCGGGGTGGGGATAGGGGGCAGCACGGCCCTCGCGGGGGCCTGGCTGGGAAGGGGCCGCGGCTGGGGGCTGTGGGGCAGGAGAGTTCGGAATCAGGCGGAGTCACAGCACTCAAGGTGGGGAATGTTCCAGAAAGGAGGGAACGAGGCGAGTGGTGGGGGAAGCACAGCAGGAGCAGAGGCCTTGGGTGGCCGAGGGGCCCGTCACTGTCACGGGCGCACTAAGGGGCTGCAAGGCCGACCCCGGCATGGGCAGAAGCACGTAGAGGGTCAGGGTGAGCGGCCGCAGGACTTTGACGGGGACCCCCAGCTGGGGACCCCCAGTCCCGGAGCTCAGCGAGGAGCCTGGTGCCCTGAGCCAGACCCCGACCCCCCCAGAGCCCGGGGCCAAGTGCCCAAACGTCCCAGCCAGCCAGAGCCTCGGTCCCCGGGTGGGACGTGGCACCAGGGGGGCTGACAGGGGTCCCGTGGACAGTGGGTGTGTCCCCGTCCCCTTGGCCAGCGTGCGACCCTTGTTCTGGCCTCTCCGGGTTCCGGCTGGAAGCTGCAGGCCGCAGGACCCACCTCTCACGTCGACCCTCACGCGGCCGGGAGGGCTGGCAGAGCCCCTGCAGCAAGAGAGGCAGGCCCAGAGCACATCCCCGGCCTTCGGGCCCCTGCTGGCTGTGGCCAGAAAGGTCCTTGTGTGGGGGGAGGAGCCAGAGGTCCGGGCAGCGTCCCCGGCTGTCCCCCAGCAGCCCTCACGCCGTCCACTGCCAGCCCAGCGCCCCCAGGACCCTGGCAGGAGCAGGTGGGCCGGGGGGGAGGAGGGTCCCCCTGCCTTCGCTGGGCGGGGCTGGCGCCTCCAGTTTCCGCTTTGATTGGCATTGCCGGATCCTGGCGCCTCTCCGGGCACGACCCTGGCCCGGGGGAGGGCGTTGCTGACCGGAGGCTTATTTGCAAGGTGGTGGCCACCCCGGGGAGTGAGGGGTGAGTGGGGATCAGACTGGGGGCCCCACTGGGCTGAGCTGGAGCATGGCCAAGCCCCTGGGGCAAGAGCTGGCCCGAGGGGACACCAGGCCCACGGCCCACGTGTCTGTCGGAGACGGCCTGCCGCAGGGCTGCCACTGGCGAGAGCCCCCGCCACGGGCCCCGCCCATGTGACGGGAGACAGGAGCGGGGTCAGCTCAGGCCTGCGGCCTGGGCCCCAGCCGCTGCCCGCTGAGCTCACACGGCTCCCAGAGCCAGCGCCTTGGCCGCCAGCTGGTTTAGCTGTGTTCTCGGGAACACCTAGAAACCGGCTGCTTGGAAACACTGCGGCGTTGCCATGCGCGGCTGCTCCTCCAGGCCCGCCAGCCCGCCGGCCCCAGTGCCCGGGCTGTGCCCGCACCGCCAGGCCCCCGAACGTGCGGCCCTTCGCAGGGCCTCCGGACACCCCCCACCCCCGTCCCCCACGCCGTGGTTTGTTCTGGGGAAACCAACTCGGGGCCAAGCAAACCCCACCAGCCGAGGCCGAGCCACTCTTGTGGGGCCCAGGGAAGCCCCGGCGTCGGCCCCGGCCCGGCCCGGGTTGCAGCGGTTTTCCCGCTGGGTGGGGATGCCGCGGCCCGCGCCCCTCCTGCCCCGCTCTGCTCCGGCAGCAGCAGGCCGCATTCCTGCGTGAGCCCGGGCCGGCCCCGGGATGCTTTTTCCACGCTCGGGTGCCAGCCCCTGCAGGCTCAGGGGAGGGGGAGAAGACGGTTTCTATGGCAACCTCACTTTTTGTTATTTCTTATTTTCTTTTTTATGGTTTCTCCAACTTTGAAGCTCTCCAGACAGTTTACAGACTGTGAAAGGAAAATCACTTTTCCTTCCCTCCCGAGAGGCCGCAGGGCCGCCCCGGCTCCACCCGGAGAGCCCTGCCCGCCCCTTCCCCACGGCCGGCCTGCGGGGGCTTCGGCCCCACACCCGGCCACACCAGGCCTTCAGGGGCTTAGTTCTTTTAAAAAAAAAAACAATTTGAAAGAAATGAATTATTTTTCTCCTAAAAAGGTAGGAAAGTGTCTGCAAAAAGAACCCAGCCACACGGCTCGGGGGCCTGGGAGCAAGTGGCCGTGCGGCCGACCTGTCCCACACCACAGCCCGGCTCTGCCTCAGAGACACCCGCGTCCAGGGCTGGTCCCTGGCCTGAGGTCAGAGGTGGCTCCCTTCACCTGAAACCCATTTACTCACCTACGCTGACTACGCGCCCCTCACCCAGCACGGCCGCCGCAGTGGGGCCGGGCACAGAGCTGAGGCCGTGGCCACCGGGAGGCCAAGGCCCAGCCCCGCGTGTCTGTTGCAGGGGAGTACGTGGTCCTGGTCCATGACGTGACCGCCCCTCCCTTCCCGGGCCACACGCTGCCCGCCGCCTGCAAGCACCTGCGGGTGTTGGCGCGGGGGGCCGGCCGCGTCCCCGAGGAAGGCCCCGAAGCCACCCACGGACACAGCCCGGCGTCGCCAGTGCCTCAGTGACATCGCGTCTCCTCGGGAGGCCACCCTCACCGTCAACAGAAGGGACGCTGCTTCCGCCTCCCGGGCCCGCCCGGGCCCCCAAGGGCCAGAGCCGCCCTGCAGTGAGGGGACCTCGGGCTGCCGCACAGAACCCCACGGCCACTGCCCGGAATAAACCCTCAGTGACAACTACGCAGTGCACTCTTGATGGGGCGTGACACGGCGGGGAGGCCACGGGATGGGGAGCAGGCAGCGAGACTTGGAAGACTAGGGTCCAGCGGGGTGCTCGCAGGGGCTCGTCTCAGTGCCTCCAGGCCGGGCCCACGGGAGTCAGCCGGCACCTCTGAGCGGCAGACTGTCCCCGCACTGTCCCAGGCCTGTGCCCGAATCGCTGCCAGGCAGGCGGGGAGGGGTCCCTGGCCCCTGCCTCGGGGCCCTGCCCCAGAGCCCGGCACTGCGGCTCGCCCACGCGTGGGAAGCAGCGAGAACGGGGTCAGCTTCCTGCCACGTTTCCTGCCTGCCTGGCGCCCCCACCCCCGCCCCGCACTGGCAGAGGAGGCCCAGCAGGGACTTTGCAGCTGCCTGGGGGACACCCCCGCCGCGGCCGAGGCCAGGGGACGAGTGGGGGATGCTGGGGAGGCCCGTGGCACCGGCCACTCGGCACAAAAGGCGGTTGTCCCCAAAGCCCTGCCTCCAGCTTCCCGGGGCCCACCTGGCACAGGTGCAGCCTGGCTGGGGCTCACCCTCCACCTGCCCCTGCTGGACAGGCCGGCCTTGCCGGACACCTCGGCACCCGGACTCCCGCCGTCACCCCTGACCTCACAGCCACCGCTTACCCCTTCCCAGACGCAGGCAGCCCCTCGGAGGGGTGTCGGGGCCCAGCCCCCAGCTGTCTGCTCCTGCCCCGGGGGCCCACATGCCAGCGCTGGGCCGGGCGGCCACCCGTGTCCCCAGAGATAGCTGTGTCGCTCACGAGGGGCACGCTGCTGCCCCCACGCGCCAAGCCCCCCAGCACCCGCCCTCTCTGGAGTCGGGCCGTCCGCACCCCCTTCCCTGGGAGCTCCCCCGTCTCCCGGGCCATCTGCCACCCCCCTCTGCAGACCCGCCCCGGGAAACGCTGGGCACTGGGGCGTGGCAAAGGCCAGCAGCCCCCTTGGGCGTCACAGGCATTGGCGACGTCACACGCCCCACTGCGCCCAGTCATCTCCCCAGAAGCAGCTCCTCCTGCCCGGTTTTGGGAGGGTGCGGGCAGGGACGGCCCAGCCGGGGGCAAGAAGACCTGCCCAGGAGTTGGGTGGGAGCGTCCCAGGGGCTCATGGGCTGCCGAGGCCTGGGGCCGAGGGGCAGGTAGGGCCTGGGGCGCCGCAGGGAGAAGCCAGGCCAACTCGTAGGGTGGTGAGCCCCCCGTCCCTGCGGGAGTCCTGGCACAAGCTGGAGGCCCACTGCAGGTGGGGGCCCCTCCCCTGGCAGGAGCTGGGCCTCCCCCAGGCCCCTTTGGCTCTGAGCTCTGCCGGCCTGAGGCCGAGCGCCCAGGGTGCCCCCCGCCTGCTGCCAGAGCGGCGTCTGGAGTGGCCCCAGCGAGCTGCCTGCAACTGTGGCAGGTCCCGGGCACCCAGGCTCCACTCGGGGAGCAAGGACACAGCCCCCTGCACCCCATCCTCGAGCCAGCGGCAAGGCTGCACCCCTCAGGCTGTCCGAGGCTCCACGTGTCCAGGCCTAGGTCTGATGGTCGCCCAGAGACTGCCCGCCAGCACCTTCAGCCCCAGTCGGAGGGAGGTTCCGGGCTCACCTCTGCCTCCCGCCCACCTGGGCCACCTGCAACCCCAGCCAGGTGGGCCCGTGTGCGGAGCAGGTGCAGGAACCCTAGTGACCAGCCAGGTGACAGCAGGTCACACACTCCTGACCCCCCAAAACTGCATCTGAGCCCCAGTTCACTTGTGCCTGCCCCTCAGATAAGGCCAATCACTTTATAGTGTTTTTTCTCACTTCGAGAAGAAACCACATTTCTTTTAAATTAAAAAGAAAATGATGTTTCAATATAGGAAGGAAAAACCGCCGGGAGCCAGGCGGCTGCTGTCTCCGGCGTGTCCAGAGGCCACCGGGACTCAATTCCCATCAGCATGCCTGGGAAAACCCGTGGCAGGAAACACGGAGTGCTGCCCACCTGGGCCCCGGGGGTGGGGTCCGTGCCACGTGGGCCCCTTTGTGGACAACAGGTGGGTCTCGCCACCCGCGGGGCTTCCCGGTGGGTGAGATCCTGCAAACGCAGAGACCGCGGCCTGGGCTTTCTGTGGCTCTCAAGGCAAACGCCCCGCAGGCCTGAGCCAGGTGGGACTCGGCTCCCTGGCTACCTGGCGGGCAGCTGAGGGCCTGGGAAGACAAGAGGGGCAGGCAGGGGTCATGAGGTGAGGAAGGTGGCTGGACCCAGCAGGGCTGTCTTCTGCCCCAGCCAGGGACCCCAATGTCCCCACTCTGGGGCCCACTCACACTGCCCTGCGACGGGCTGGACCTCTGGCTGCCCTTCCCACCTTCCCCCAGGAGTTGGGGAGGGGGCTCCAGGTCCGTCCTTGGGCCCCTCCTGTCCTCTGACCTCGCTGGACAGATATTTACTGAGCAGGGCGTCAGGGACAGCATGGAGCACGCACTGCCATGGGAGGCCGATGTCCTCATCTGGGATCCGTGTGCACGTCAGAGAGAGGGAGGCAATGGGAGACGGGCGAGGGAAGGCTGGGAGTCCCCTGCCGGCACCCCCAGAGGCCACACGGGGTGAGCAGCACAGCCAGGCACAGGTGCAGCATGACAGGGCCCGCCTGCTGGCACAGGTGGCTCCTCCCAGCCTGTCCTGAGGCTGCTGCTGGTGGTCACCCAGGACCCCAGAGTCCTCTTCGCAGCCTGGGCAGGTTGACCACTCTGGGTGCCCCGGCCAGCTGTGTGGGGCTTCTTGGGGGGTCCTGGGTGTGCAGCCCGCCAGGCTCGCCTGCCAGCTCACTGCCTGCCCCGGGAGGCCTCAGTCCTGGGGTCCTGCTAGCGGGAGTCCCCAGGCCTATCTCAGCAAGACCCCCGCCCAGCAAACAGCTCTGGGAACAGCCCTGCGCCGACGCCAGCCCTTCCTGCTCCCCTCCTCTCAGAGCAGGGCACAGCGCCCAGGGCCGGGCCTGGGGCCTCCCTGGTGGAAGAGAGCCAGGCAGGGCGGGCAAAGGGACTTCGGAGACCAGGTAGGGGCTCAGAGTGGGGCACCTGCCCAGGCTCAGGGCTGCAGGGGACATGCTGGGCCTTGTTTTCTGGTGGGGACAGCAAGTAGGGCTGTCAGCGGCCAGCTGGGCAGCCCTGACGGGGCCCGGCCCACACTTGGCCCCCAGGGCAGTGTCACTCTCCCACTCCCATCCCTGGGCAGAGTTGGGGGCCAGGACGGGGTTCCCCGAGGAACGCAGCTCCCAAGCCCCAGCGGGCCCAAGCCTGTGTGGCCTCCTTCCTGGGGGGCTGGGGGAGCAGCAGGCGCAGGGGGACACAGGAGGGTGCTGCCTACCCCAGCCCCCGAGCCTCTTTGGGTCCTGGGGTCAACCGCAGCCAGGCAGGGGCCCCCACAAAAGACGAGGCACTGCCCATCGGCCCTGGGGCCTCAGAGCACAGGCCCGGCAGCTCTCTCCCGGCCTCTCCCCAGACAGGGCCCAGGGATCCTGGCCACACCGCCCTGACCTGGGCAGGCCTGGCCTCGGCACCCGCCTGTCCCACAGGTTTCTCTTCCACCCAGTAAGTCACTGCTGCTCTGCCAGTGCCGAGCTGGCTCTCGCAGGAACGTGCGGTGAAGACTAGAAACCACAGGTGCTGCGGGCGCAGCCCAAAGCACAGACAGGACACAGCGCGGACACGGCGCGGGCACGACCTTGGGGGGCACAGAGCCGCTACCAGGAGGCTCCGCTGGGAAGGGCTGGGGGCGCAGGCAGCCAGGGCCTTTCCTCCAGAGGAGGCTGCAGGGTCCCCGAGGAGCACGGGTGGAGGGGGCTCAGCCCAGGGCACCACCCTGACGGTGGAGAGCAGGTGGGGGACAGACCCCTGCGGCCTTCTCTGTCGGGGTCTCCGCGGCTGGATCCGCCAAGCGCCCCAGGTGCCCGCTGGTCCGGGGAAACGGGCTCGGGGGCGGCACAGCAGCCCCCCCGGGAAGAGGTGCCTCGCCCGCCGCCAGCAGCGACCGCTCGGGTTTGGGCCGCTGGCCCGGGTGGGGGGCCGCGGGGACCCCACCCCGCGCTCCGCCAGAGCTGCAGTTCCCGCCTCCGCCGCCGGGGGTCGCGCCACCGCCCAGCCAAGCCGCTGGGGCCCTGGGACGCCCCGTCGACCTCGCCCCGCCCCCGCTCAGAGTCGGGGTGCCCCCCTGCCCCGGCGCCTGGCCCGCGGCGGCTGGACGGGGAGATAGAGGTAGCGGAGGAGGGTAGAGGAGAGGAGGCAGGGGAGGGAGGAGAAGGCGTCCGCGGACGGACGCGCAGGGGGCGGGCAGGCGGGGTCCGCAGGGACGCCCGTCGTGCCCCCCGCCCGGCTCGGACCGCCCCCCTGGCCGGAAGCCCGGGCGCCCCGCCCGTCGGAATCCGCGGCGCGCGGGGGTGGCGGAGCCCCGCCCCAGGGGCGCTGACGCCGGCGGGGGGAGCGGAAGCGGCGCGGCGGGCGGAAAAGGAAACTGAGGCGCCGTGGGGAGGCCTCCCGGGAAGCCCCGGCCGCAGGGGACCCCCGACCAGCGCCCGGCCAGGGCCCCCGCCCCGCCCCGAGCAGGACGCTGCCTCCCGGGCGCACCCCCAGCCCGCCGCGGCCCCTCGGCGACACCCTGGCGGGCGGGGCGGGGTAGCGCGGGCTCGGGCGCACCCCCCCAGCGGCGTGGGGGCAGCAGGGTGGGGCCGGCCAGGGGTCCTGGCAGCCCGCAGCCCCCCAAGCCTGGCTTGCGGCCAGGCCGGAAGGGGCAGGAGTTTAGGCTGTTCTGGAGCCAGCCTTGCGGTTCCTGGTGGCTTCTCTGCCCCCGCCCTTCCCCCAGGGATGCGGCCCGGGAAGGAGCCCACCCTGCCTCTGGTGGGGGGTGGGGGCCGGCCCAGGCATGAAACCAGAGGCCAGATTTTCTGGGGTTCCCGGGTGAGGCCAAGGGCAGGAGAGGCGCACCCCCAGCGGGGTTTTTTGTCTTGGGCTCCTTGGAACAGAGCGTGCAGAGTGGGGTGGGGCCACTGCCTTGGTTTGACACAGCCAGCCTGTGCCCTCATGTCCCCACGGGAGGCCACTGGGTGCCAGCCTGGGAGGACTCTAGCCTCCCTGGGCCAGCAGGACCCTGTCTTTTTGCCTGTCCAGGCGACAGGGAAAGATGGACGGCCAGAGGCCCACCCACCTGGCCACGGCAGCTTCAGCCCTCCCCAGTCCCTGGGGTCATGGAGAAGAACAGTCTTCCGCACCCCTCCAGACTCCCCAAGGCCTCGGCAGAGGCAACTCGTCCACCGACTGCCAGAGCCTTTTCTGAGACTTGCCCTTGGAAACAGGAGTTGTAGTGTGGGCCACGTGTCCGCCACGGCAGGGTAGGGTGGGGTCGGGCCCCAGCAGAGCATCCACCCGCCCAACTCCTGCAGCCCCATGTGCACAAAGCCGAGACAGGGCACAGCACCCACACAGGACGTCCGGGCTCTGGGACTTGCCGTCTGACCCACTACAGCCACCCAGGCCGGCCGGTGGGCGCTCAGCGTGGCTGGGCTGTCCCAGGGCTCCTGTCCCCTTCTCCCAGCCCCGGCCTTCCCACAGTTGCCTGGAGGGACACAGCTTGCAGGAGGGGCCAGAAGGTTGTGACTGCAGGAGGGGGCAGGGGCGTTGGGACAATCTGAAGGGGCCAGGCCAGAGGGGATGCCTGGATGTTGAGGGGTAGCGGCCAGGGTACACAGGACCCCCAGAGGGCTGGGGCTGGCAGCCTGCTGGGCCCCCACCAGGGCCTTCCCAAGGCCTTTGGCTCCCGCAGCCCCAGGCTATGTGCCCCCATTTCTGGGCTGAGCTGGGCAGCCAGGGGCCCACCCTGCCATGCTGGCCATGCGTGGCCTCACCACGTCCACCAGTGGCCTGGGCAGGAGGCCCAGGGACGGTGCTGTCTGGGCCTGACCCAGTGTGGTGGGTCCTCTGCTGGGGGCTTCACCTCGCATCCCTCCTTCCCATGGGGGCCGGGTCCCTGGAGGTTTCCGGAACAGGCCTCCTTTGCGGCACAGTGACGTGGCCAGAGCCTAGGCTGAGCTTCCTGCCAGTGAGGGCTGCCAGGCCTGGCCACAGGAGCAGGAAGGGCCATCCCCAGCCCGGCCGGACACCTGGCCCAGCACAGGACTCTGTGAAGACAAGCCAGGCCAGCCGGCCCCCCCGCCTGTCCCCCCCTGCAGTGGGGCCACCTGCTCCAGGGCTGGGTGCCCCAGTCGTCGAGGCCCCCACCCACCTGGCACAGGCTGGGCACAGATGGCCACGTGCGTCACCAAGACCATGGGGTGGCAGGGGCGGGCGGGCATCCAGTCCCCAAATGTTCTGTCCCCACCCCTGCCCCAGGGTGGCCTGAGGCAGGCGGGCAGTGGGTTTGGCAGCAGGTGGGCATTTCTGGAGGTGTGTGGACTCCCCTTGAAGTAAGCCCAGATTTCATATTATGAAGGCCAGCACCTGAGGGTCACAACCCCACCTGTACCCAAGGGCACAGAGTGTCCTAGGGACAGGGCAGACCAGTCCCCTCTTTCCTGTGGGGCCCCCACCATGCTCCATGGTGTCCTAGGCCCAGGCTGCCTAGAGCAGGGCCACCAGCCCCCCAGAGACCCCTTCACCTAAGCTAGGCTGCCCCAGAGCCCTGGGGCCGCCCCTTCCTGGCTGATGGTACAGGGCAAGTGGGGGGTAGTTGGACCAGGTTGGGGGCTGGTGGGGGCGGCAGGGCTGGGGTGGAGACACAGGGCAGAAGGACCCTGGGGACCAGTGGAGCCCCACCTCCTGCCCTGGGCAGGTCTTCACTCCCCATCCCTGTCTTGGGGGCTTGTGACAGGCACCAGCCAGAAAAGGAGTGAGAGCTGCCAGCAGGGGAGCTGAGGCCCAGGGACAGCCTGTGACCCCCAGAGGCCGTGGTCAGCGTGGGCAGTGGGAGTTCTGGGGCAGGGAGGGAGGGCCAGCCCCTGTGGCCCACCCTGATCACCTCTCTGCCCAGGGGAACCCAGGCCCTTTCAAACAGCTTTGGGGAGAGGGTTCTGATGCTGGGTGGCCCCTGGCCCCTGCTGCCCCAGGGCCGGGGGTAGTCAGACCTTTAATGCTGTAAGTTTATACTTAAAGTTGAACCCCAAAGTGAAGCCCAGAGTTGAGCCTGGAGTCCCCAGGAGCTGCCGCTGGGGCCCCAAGCCCCTCAGCCTCAGGGAAGCACGGTGCTCAGCTCTGCAGCCTGGTGGGCAGAGGCCCACACTGGCCACAGGGACAGCCCAGTCCTTCCCCAGCCTTCGCTGTACCCCACCTAGGGCTGGCACGTGTCCTGCAGTACAGCCAGTGCTGCTCTGGAGCAAGTCTGGGCCGCATGTCCCAGGGAGGGGGACGTCAGGGTGGCAGGTGAGGCCCAGCTGCATGGAGATGTCCGTGCTCATGGCCCCCATCTGCGCCCCCGGAGGGTAAGTGCCCAGGACTGGGCACAGCAGGCCTCTGCCACCCTGCTCCACCCAGCACTCTCCTTGGGGAATCCACAGCTGTAAGTAGCTGGCACTGCCACTTTGTCCCTCCCTCTGGCCCACTGTCCTCCCCCGCCCTGGAGCTGGGGACACAGCAGGCTTTTCCAGGGCTAAGTGTGGGGGTCTGTCAGCTCCAGAGCCTCCCTGGGACATGTGGCGGGGACCGTGTGGCACTGGAGGATACAGGACTGGGGTCCTGCCAGCAAGTGGGCTGAGCCTGGGCTCCCCTGCGCCATCCATTGCTTGACAAGAGGCCAGGAGACCCCTGACAGGGTGCGGCCGGGCTGGGGATGCCGGATGTGGTGGCCAAAGGCAGCCCAGGGACCCCAGCCAGGCTCCTCCCCCACAACTGCAGGTGGTGGGGGCTGGGAGAGCCCCTGGAGGCTGAGCAGGGAGAGGGGTCCAAGGTTCAGGTGCCAGCTGGCCTCCTGGGTAAGTGGCCTGAATACCGGGGAGCTGCCGATCCACCCTCGGGCAGGTCTCCTGCCCCTGGGGTGCTCTAACCTTGGCTGAGCCCAGGCCCCAGCAGGGATGGTTCTGGTCTGGGCCAGGAAGGGCCCCACCGGACAGGGCTCCAGTAACGCCCATCACTCTGAGGATGGGCTACCAGCTCCCTGGAACGTAGACAAAACCTCTGTGGCCTTATCCAGCTTGGAGGGAACCAAGTGGACAGAGGCACCGGGCCACAGCCACCACCTGCACCCGGTGTCCACTCGGAGCTCACCGAAGACCCAAGGCCCATGTGGCCTGCTTACAGCAGCCCTTCCCTTCCTGCCCGCAGCCAACACAGGCTGACCCTGGAGGCCGGGCCGCCCCGCCAGGCTGGGGCGCACGCACACGGCGGCCCACGGTGCTCGCAAAGTCCTTTATTGTACGGGGCGTCTGTTCGGGAGGGGGGGGGTGCAAAAGGACTAACAGGTACACAGCGAAATAGATAAATATGCCAAGCTTTTCTTTTTTTCTTTTTAAATCAGGCATTTATAAACAAGAAAGCATACATTAATTACATAAAAATAGTTCTCGAGTAGCAGAGTAAGCATCGTATTGTCATTAGCAGCAGCAGACGCAGGGACGGTGCAGGGGCTCCGGGTGCTTATAAAGGTAGAGGTGGGTTTTTTCTTTCCTTAATTGAAAAAAAAAAAAAAAAAAGTCATTTGTGACTCCTGACTTAAAGCAAGAACAAAACACCTCCCGACCCTGGGGACAGGGCGGGCGGGGAGGGACGAAGAGGCCCAGCCTGGTGGGAACCGCGAGGCCGAGCCCAGCACCCGCGGGGACGTCACCACGGAAACTGCACAGGGGGTTCTCCGTCCCCTCTGGCAGGTGAGCATTTTTTTTTTTCTCAGTTAAAAACAGCCCAGAAAACAAGACAACTATCAGGTAAGAAAAGAGTTTCTGAAAAAGGAACCACCATATACACGTATAATACAACGGTGTAAAATGAAAAGAAGTATTTACACGGCAATCGTTTTTACATTGGCTAGTTCTGTAGGAAAAGCAGATATTATGTGTATGAGTTAGCTGCTCCGTAGATATGAATGTTATTGCTGTTGTTTCTTTCCCTTCGTTAAAAATCCTCTTTCAGCATAGAAATGAGTAATTAAACTGAATACACAATCATCCGGATGACGGGTTTTACATACAGGGAGTCAACAGCCTGCACAACCATCCCTCCCCTCCCTTGTTCTGAACCAGGCCGACTGGCAGCTGCACCGGCCCTGCAGCCAGCGCACCCTCGGGCCGGGGACACCCTCGCCTAGAGCTGCCCCACACAGCGGGCCGGGACCCCCGTGCCCCCACCCTCACCCAGGGAAGACTCAGGTGAGCCAATATGGGCGCGGCAAGGACCGCCCGGGTGGGCCCAGGGCGAGAGCTGCTGGCAAGGGAGAGCCTGCCCCTGGCCACGGGGCCCAGGCGGGACGGTCGGTCGACACTGTCTGGACCTTGCCAGGACCAAATGCCCCTGGCTCTCGGGGAGGAGTCACCTCTGCAGACACAGCTCTTTCCAGCTCTTTCTGCAGACACCTGGGACAGAGCAGGCGGGGCAGGCGTGGAGCTGATGGTGCCCGGCGGAGGAGGAGGGCAAGGTGACTCGAAAGCTCTTCGCCCTCTGGGGGCCTAAAACTCAGAGGGGGGGCGGGGCCTGGGCATCACTGAGTTCAGACTGGGGACATGGGACAGCCACACAGAAGCACGCCAACACACGTAAAGCTTTGCTCCAACTAAATCATTTAGTTTCCCTTGAAGAAATGACTGAAAAACACAACTCTGGTAAAACAAGGCTAAGAACAGCATTCTGCATGTTGCATAACAAAACCGACCCTTCACAAGACACGGTAATAATGCCCATCGATGGATCTACCTATGGCAGAGGTGTAAAATCCCATGCATACAAATTTAATAACTGCAAAAGTAAAACAAAAGCAAAAGAAAAAATTTCCAAACAAACGCTGCATATACATGATGTCCCTTTTGCATTGCACTTTAGAAGGGGGGGGGTCCAGCAGCCACCGAGACCCCCTCAGTAAACCAAGGGCAGACCCTGCGGACGATTCTGTCACCCACACGCACGGGGCCAGTCCCGGGTCTTTGCTTGTTGCCGCCGCAGCCGACGGTCCCAAGGCCGCTGGTACCTGCGCCATCTCCATCCCGTGAGCAATCACAGCTGCCGGGCGTCACAACGGATTCAAGCAAAGAATTCCTGTCAGATCTTCTCATGTAAATAAATATCGTAATTTTAGGATGGGTAGCCGCCTCTTGTCTACTGGGAAGTCATTTTTCAAGCCTGGGCATAAGAAACCTTACACAATTTGCATAAACAGTTGAGAGTAAACGAGATTATTTGGAATAAATGCAAGGAACTTATTTCGATAGTGGCAGATTCAGTCGCTACTGAAGACAGATATTTTGGGGGTAAAAAGACATGAGTCAGGATTTGCTGTACAAGATGCTGGAAGGCACAGGACGACCCCGAAGTTCAGTTTTTGCATTTTCATTTTCTTGTGATTCCCTTGTTCAACCAAGCACCAGAGGGGATTTCTAAGCACTCGAGCACTTAGGATTTGAACTGCTCTATAAATCGGTAAAAACCTCAGTTAACTGGGGAATAAAAAGAGAAGGGAAGATTTTTGACAAAGTGCAGTTCTAATATACGTTTAAAATGAACGAACAAACAAAAAGAGTAAAAGAAAAAGTGAAGTAATGCTGTGTTTTGTTCCAATGCTGCAGCCCCAGCCCCGGCGCCGCTGGCCGAGCAGAAACGGGCGGGCGCCGTGGTCAAGCAGCGCGTGTTCCCGGGGGCTGGGGGTGTGCCCGCCGCCACGGCCGCCTGGTGCAGGCCAGCGCCCCGCAGTGGAGGAGCGCGGGCAGAGCCCGGGGCGCGGAGAGCAGAGCACGGCTCCTGCGCGCTCTGCCCCTCCTGCGCCCGCGGCGTGGTGCTGGCGTCCACGGCAACGTGGCAGGCGGGTGGTCGTCGTAAGGCGGGCAGTGTTTGGGCTCATCTCGCACGCGGCACTGTCCCTGCTCTTCCTGGCAGCAGCAGGAAGACCTGGGTCCTTGTCGCTGAAAAAATAGACTCTGAAGAAAAACCCCTGCTGTCCTCACGCAGCCGCGGGCACAGATGAGCTGTGATGGCTTCCCGGGCGGGGAGGGTGGCAGCCGCCACCCCCACTCCATCTCGGGTCTTCAGATGGCGTCATGTGTTGGGGCTTTTAAAAGTTAGTCATTAAAAAACATGTTGATTTTCTGAATTTCAAGTCTCCTTATTGGTTTTAAATAGCTTATAACAAAAGTGTAAATGTTAGAACGTTCTAGCAAGCAGAGGGCCTGCCAGAGCTGCCGAGCTGGCCTCGTCCCGGCTGCAGCTGGGGGACACGGCTTACTCGCTTGAACTTGGCCAGTACAAAATTTTGCAGTGGATTCCAAAGTATGTGGTTACAAACACTCGCTTGGTAATAGGCACAGTAAGACGTTGTGCTGTGTGGGCTGCAGGGGCGAGGCCGGGGGCGGGCCGGGCTGGGGGCAGCGCCACCCGCCCCACTCCTCTCTGCACCCTGTCGTCGTCGGCGCCGCAGCAGCAGAGGCTCCGCTAGGGCTCCAGCTCAGCAGTGCCCTCGCCGCCCGCGGCCTCGGGGCGGGGCCGTGGCCAGAGCTGCTCCTGCAGCTCCTTCACCACCTTCTCCAGGTGCTCGCGGGCCTCGCGCTCCCGCAGCAGGTCGGCCCGCAGTTGCTCCCGGTCCGCCTCTGCGTGCTGCAGCTTCACCTGCAGGTCTTCGATCTGAAAGGGACGCCACTGGTCAGTGGCCCTGGCCAGGTCCCTGCCCCTCCTCCACCTGCCAGGACACAGGCTCCCAGGGGTGGGGGGCCAGGACAGTCTGCCCCACCCCCTCATTGGGAGGCTCGGGCCCCCCGCATCTGCTCACGAGGCACCTTCCCAGCTCCCCAAGGCTCAGGTCCAACCTGGGGGCTGCTCTGTGCTGGGCTGCCACCACCCTACCCTCCCTGACCCGAAGGGAAGACCCAGCCTCCCCAAACTGGGGGCCCCTCCACCCTGCGTGTGGCTCAGAGCTTGTTTTTCAAGCAAACCCACCAGGAGGGAACCCTGGGTCTTGAGGCCTCCCCACGGCCATAGGTCTGCTGGCCACAGCCTTGAGCTGGAGTCCACCCCACAACGTCCCAGGCCCACCGGCCGCTCAGCCATCCATGGTGCCCTGAGACCCTGCGTAGACTGGGCAGGGCTGGTGGCCAGCGGATCACGGGCCCAGCTCCACGGCAGCAGCGTGCCCTGCGCCCTCAGCACCCCGCCTTCCCCAGGACCCTGCGTACCTGGGCGGAGTACTTGGCGCGCAGGCGGCCGGCCTCACAGCCCTTGTCACACACCCGGACCTGCCGCGCCTGCTCCAGCTCGCGCTTCAGACGCATGCGTGACTCATTGGCCTCTTTCATCTTCTTCTCATTCTCCGCGCGCAGGCGCTCGATCTCCTTCCTCAGGTTGCGCTTGGCCTCCGTGGCCTCCCGCAGTTTCTCCTTCTTAGCCACGCGCAGGAACTCCAGCTCCTGGGAGAGCAGCAGGGGCAGGTCAGCGTCCTGGCGCCCCTGAGACCTGCTGGACGCAGCTCCCTCTCCCCCTGACCTGTCTGCCCCACGGCTGTCCACCTGCAAGCCGCACGCGCCACGCCACCAGCCTAACCACGCCACAGATGCCCTGGTCACAGAGGTTCTTCTTCCCAGATTACTGTCCTGTGGCTCCCAAAGGCTCACACCACCTGCTGCTGGGCCTGGGGTCTGGTCTAAGCCTGCCCCCCTCCAGGCTGTGCAAGGTCCTGGGCAGGCCTTCCTTCCCCACATGCAAAAGCCATGTCCCCCCTGAGGGCAGCCGGCCAGTGCTCGGGCTCCCAGCAGCGTGGGTGGGTGGGTGGGCAGCCTAAGACATCGACAGCCGAGGGCCCAGGGCCCCCCACACAGCCAGATGGAGACTTACGATGAGGGCCCTTCCTCCACTTGATAAAATATCCCCAACTCACCCCCCCACCCCAGGCTACAAACCACGCCTCATGAATATGCATGTGGGAAATCACGCCTCCAATAAGAACAACCCAGACAACAGAGGCAGGGCTGTCCTGGAGCAGGACGCACACCCTGGGCGGTGGCTGAACCCTGCTGCTCTGAGGGCTGGTAGGGCTGCAGCGCTAAAGCCCACGCTGGTCCGGGAGCTGCCAGACACCGCCGAGGTGTGAATGCGGCAGATTCTGCCGTGCTGGGTTTGCCGGGGGTGAAGGCCCACATGCCCACGCACCTCCCTCTCCCCAGGCTGTCTACACCTCTCGTGCACTTCGGGAGAAACCGACACAGCGCGGGAGCCAGGGCTGCGTGTGGGAACCTCGAGGCAGGCCCCAGGAGGCAGCCTGTGCAGGCGGAGCCGAGTGCATGTGTGTGCGCGTGTCTGCATGTGCCCGTGCGTGTGCACCGGGCCTGCTCCTTCCTGCTCGGGAGGCCTGGCGGCAACTATTTTCCAGAACACAAAGCTGTAGGAAGCGCACCCTCACCCGTGTTCTGCAGTCGGCAGGCCTTGCTGGCGCGCGTGTGAGCACCCGCTCCTGGCGCACAGAGCACAGAATTGTCTCAGCACAGCTGCTCCTGCTCCCGCCACTAAAAATAGCCCAGCCGTCATTACGCCAGAGGAGCACACCCACTTCCCTAGCGCGGCAACCGTGTGGGTGCGTGACGTGTCGTGTGGGGCACGGTGGGGAGGGCTGCGGTCAAGCCAATGGCAGGGCCTCTCGGGAGCCCAGAGGGGCTCTGCACATCAAAGGTCACCTCTCCCAGAGCCTCAGCCCCTTGAGGCTCAGGAGCACGAGGGGTGGCCCGGAGCGGAGGTGGCCTCACCTGGTGCAGGCTGCGCTTGGCCTGCAGGGCCGCATTGAGCTTCTCCTCCTGCTTCACGCGCATCTTGACCACCTCGTGCAGGAACTTCTCTTTGGCTTCCTTGGTGTCCAGGCCGCCCTCCAAGGCCTGCCGCAGGTGCTCCAGCTCCGCCTCCAGCCCGCTGGGGGCGTCGGCGTGGGCTGCGGCGTCGGGGGCGGCCGTGGGTGGGGCGTGCGTGCCTGGGGAGCTCAGGTCCTTGGCGGAGCTGGATGAGGTAAAGGACGGGGAGGACAGCGAGGACAAGGAGGACGTGACTGAGGAACAAGCAGAGACAGAGACCACGTCACACAAGCGCCGGGAGCTCCTTGCTGCGCAGACTCGAGGGCGCTCCCAAGAAGGACCTGGGAAATGCCGGGGCCAGGGCTCAGGGGGGCGGGGGGACTATGCCTGAGGACGTGCTAGACCCCAGGTGTCCCCCTCTCTCCCCCCAAACCAGTGCCAACCCCACGCCGATGCCCGCAAGGTATAGAAAAGAAAATCAACTCACACTTACATTCCTCTCTGCTTTCAACCTCAACCTCAGCCTCCGAGTCCTTGTCCTCCTCTGGGGCTCCAGGCGCGAGCATCTCGGGGGCTCCGGGCGTGTCCACGGTCAGCTTCCGCTTCCGAGGCTGAATGCAAGTGGCGAGAGGCTCGGTGGCCCGGGAGACGACGGTGGCACATGGTGGGCTGTTCACAACCTTCTGCTGGGCTGGTGGTGCGAGGGCCACATTGGGGGCCACGGCTGTCTCGAAGCTCTTGTAGGAGTAAAAACTGGGGGCGGGGGCAGATAGAGTGGGTGTCAGCAGAGGCAGCTCTACCCCACGGAGCCCCTGCCTGACATAGGGAGCCACGTGGCACCCCACACCACGAGGACCCATCACGGAGCATGCTCCCTTTGAAGATGTCAAAGGTGTTAATACTCTCTCTTTCAACAACAAATCGTAACATCAAGCCTTCTTCAGTGACTGAGAATCTGTACATGTTTTCCGCTGGCCAGGTGCCCTGGGCCAGCTGGACACAGACTGACCACGTCACAGAAGCAGCACCCAGGAGACAGGGCCCCACAATGCCACCACTCCACCCAGCACCTCCACAGGAAGTTCTAGATGTGCACACTCGGATGCCAACCAAAGGGACCAACGCTCTGAGCAAGACGCCGCAGGTCTGGCACTGGCCTGCAGAAACACCAGGTGTCGCGTGGACACAACACTCAGACGGGACTGTGGAGACCCGCATGTGGCAGCCACTCACCTGTCTCGAATCAGGGCTGGGAGGTGTGGGGAGAGCTCTTTTTCACTCGCGGAAACTGCAGGGGACCAGGGTCGGAAGGCGGAAAGGCGCTGGCGAGGGTGAACGCAGCCGAGACCCTGTCGAGAGAGTCGCCTGTGTGAGCAGCTGGGAGGGAAACTAGCCACCGCACGTCCCTACGGCCGGGCGGGCTCCGAGGAGAAGGGCCCGGCGCCCACCTCCCTGAGGACCCCACACAGGCCCCTGCGCAGCACCTTGTTGGAGGAGCCGGCCAAGGTCCGCAGCCAACCCGACTGCTTGTCCTTCTCAGAAGGCGCGGGGGACTGGGAGGAGGTGTCATCTGTTTGGGGTCTTATGGAGGCCGGGGGCTCGGAGGAGACCTGTGATCAACACAAAAGGCCCTGTTGGCACCTCTGGGCCCCGGGGCAGTCCCCCTACTAGCCCCAGTGAGCACATGCCCCGCCAGGCCCTGAGCCACGAAGGACCCCGGGGGTTCTAAGGGCAGACTGGACTGCGCCTGGCAGGGCCACCTGTGCGACGCGGCTCCCTGTACGCTGACAGGCCAGGAGGGCTGCTCGGGCCTGTGTGGAAGGTAAGCCGGACGCTGCTGAGGGCCACCACCTCGAGGGTGGAACGGACACTGCTGTGTGGTTTTGGGGCTTGCCCCACAGCTACAGCGGGTCTGAGTGGCATCAGGACCTGGCCTCCTGGTCCACAGCAGCTCTGCCTGACCCGAGCCCCCGTCCTCACCCCTTTGGACCGCTGTCCCAGAACCTGAGCCTGCACTCGGCAGGGACCCGCACTGGGACCTGGGCTGAGGCACAGCGGGAACAGAGGCCCATCTGGGAGCCGCCAAGCAGGCCCATGCTCCGGCTCCGGACCAGCCTGGGAAGGGCGGCCAGGAACAGCGAGCCCACGGGCCAGCTGTGGGGCCTGACACGCGGCTGCCACAGGGAGGGTGAGCAGCACCTGCCCACTGCCTGGTTAAAGAGCAGGCTTCCCGGTGCCCTCCCCCTGGGAAGAAAACTCCTCAGCACGGAGGACACGCGGTCACACCCAGTGAGCTCAGCTTTACGGGACGCTGCCACGCTCAACCCCACGCTCAACTCTCGTTTCCCGCCGGCTCTGCTGTTGGAGGAAGCTCAGGGAAGCCACCTGGCCCCTGCTTGTCTCAGGAACACAGTGCTATGCCCGGCAGGTGTGACGGCACATTTCTCAGAACCGACAAGGGGTACAGAGGCTGCGGGCTACGTGGCCTCGGAGCCAGTCTGAGTGGGAACAGCGACTCCTCCCCCAGACGCCCACCGAGGCCCGACAGAACGAGAACCCCCTCAACCCCACAACTCTAGGCCCCCGAGTTGTGCAATGCAAGACACGATCCAGACACAAGGCCTGTACCCAAGCAAAACCAGAACAGCCTTTGGAAGAAGGAACCCGCAGGCCCCACAGGACAGTGGGGAGGCCCCCAGGGCAGCGGAGCCAGGGTCTTCTCCATGGCCAACACATGACACGATGCTGAGGGTGACAGCACGTTCACCTTCCAGGCCCAAGTGCAGGAGGCGGGTGCAAGTGTGGGAGCCTCTCGCCTGTAGCCAGAAAGCCGGGGTTGGGGTGGCAGTGGGGGGCCTCCCCCCTCCTACAGCAACACGTGGAGAAAAGTATGCAGCTGGCCCTGGGGACAGAGTGGGCAGGGGGCCAGGCCTCTAGTCAAGGTGCCCAAAGTAACAGGGTTTTCACCACAAAGCTCAGGACGCAGGGACAGCCCAGACCCTGGAGGAGTCCTGGGGAAAGAGCTCGCCACACCTGTGGCCTCCCCGGAACACAGGCCGAGCGTGGCATGCGCACCCCCGGGCTTCAAGGCTGCAGCCCCTCAGGGAACACACCGCCAAGCGGGGACGGGACAGGCAGCCGTCTAACCCGGGCCCTGGCATGGGGCGCCCTGGGGACAGGCAGGTGGGGGTACGCTCTGGCAGGGCCTTGCACAGAAGCAGCTGTCCCTCTGGCCAGAGCAGCCCAGCTCTGGGGAAGTTTCAGGTCAACTTACACACTCAGCCGAGACACTAAAATAACCATTCAGGAAAATGACACTCAAAACGCACACTCGGCGCTGCTGCTTTCTAGGGGGAGTGCGTCTCCGCGGCGGCTGGCAGGCGCCCCGACCACAGGCCCACGCCCGTGCCCAACAGGGGCAGGTGGGATCTGGCTGCGGCAGCAGAGCTCCTTCCAGAGCTGCGGGGGCCCCTCCCGAGGGCAGCGCAGAAAGGGCCGGCCCAGGACGCCAGGCCAGGGTGGAGCTTCCTGTCTGAGCAGCCGCCATGGCAGGCGCGGAAAGGAAGCTCGGTTCAGAGAAAAGCCACAAGACCCGGCGCCGTCTGGTGCTGAATCTGAGAAACCTCAGAGACCTCTTGGGGGGGAGAAGTGTCAGACGCCACCAGCTGCAGGGACACGCCCACCTCATGCCACCCCCGTGAGAGCCAGTGCAGACACAGTTCTGCCCAGCGCGCACCAAACAGCCACCCTGAAGACACAGCCGAAGGGCCCGGGGGCAGGGCCCCAACCCATCCACACGGTTCCCAGGACCCCATGCCCAGCCAGCCACGGATTCGGAGATGGGGGCATGGTGGGCCTGGCCTCCCACATGGCTCCAGCCTGGACTGCCCTGGATGGGGCGGGTCTTCTGGTCCTCAGGTAGCTGAGCGACCTTTCTGAGGTTCTCAGTGAAAAGCTAGTGGCCCCTCTGTCCAAGCACGGGGCTCTTTTGAGTCTACATGTCACCAACACAGCACGAAGAGGAACTTGCCGAACAGAGGACGTCTGTGGCCTGGCAGCACCAGAGGGAATGTTGCCAGAGCGGTGTCAGCCCAGGAGGAAGGACACCCTTCTTCAGGCCTGGGATGCCACCACCCCCAGCAGGACCCACTGGGGGCCCCTCTGTAGACAGTCAGGAACAAAGCTGCACCCAGCAGCAAGACTGCAGTGTCCCCATTCTGGTAGATCAGACCAGCCACCTCTGGTTTCTGACCCTTCCCAGGGCCTCAGAACCAGCCCATGAGGCCCAAGGGCACAGGGCACAGAGGCAGGAAGGAGGCGGCTCTGGGCCCTAGATGCACCAAGGCAACGGCAGGGGGTGGGGGGACAGCCAGGGGCAGGACAAGGATACAACCCAGTACCCTCTGCGTGAAGACCACAGCAGCGGCCCAAGGAGACTCCTGCCCACAGCTGTCGGCCCCAGAGCAAGGGAAGGGCCAGTCTGGGACACCCACCAGGGACTGCCTGGCCACGGCACTCTGCTGCGGGTGAGCTACATACTCCCTCGCAGGGTCACAGTGAGCCCTGCAAAGATGCTCCAGACATGTCCACCCATCTTCTGGGGCTAACTCTGAAACCCTCCCAGTGACCTGGGCTAAGGGTGGATACAGAGACACAAGAACGTGGTGTCCCCTGGATACAGATGGACCCTGCCACTAGGGAGCTGGGCCTGACATGGGGTTGTGGTGGCTGCCAGAGCCACCCTAAGCCTCCAGAGCAGAGGAGGGAAGAGCCTCAGATATGAGGGGAGCCACAGGAGCAGCTTCCCCAGCCCCAGGGCCACATGGCCATCGGCCAGGCTTCCCTAAGGGCCTCGCTTCCTGTGGACGTCCCCTTACCCCTGCAAAGCCCCAGGAGTGGGCCTGTCCTCTGCCATGGCCAGCATGTGGAAGGCTGAGAGGAGGCCTGGGCTCCAAGGGGCCAGTAGGACCAGAGACTCAAGAGGCATGGGGGCGACATGCCAGGGGACCCCACTGCTAGGTCTGCAAGGAGCCAGGGACAGAGAGGACCCATCAGGAGGCCCCTTGAAGACCTTGTGCCCAAACTGTGCACACTGCCTGGGGCTCAGAGTGACGCCCCAAAGCAAGGAGAGGCTGCTCCTCCCCCATCCAGCAGGAGGCTGATGCCGAGGTGAAGTGCCAGCGCCTAAGACCAAAGTGAACGATGGGCCAGACGGGCAGCCCAGAGTGGCCTGAGTGACCTGGGACAGGTGGAGTCACGTCTGCACTTCCTACGGCCCCACATGGGGCACTGGCTGGGCACCTCCCCCGGGGGACGTCACACAGAACCTGCCACTCAGGCCACTGAGCCTCAGCCTGGAGCCCTGGACGATGACCTTGCTGGCCCTGCTCGCCGCTGCTTAGCTACTAACTGGAGGGGGAACTGCAGGACCCATACCAAGAGCCTGCCTCCCTGGCAGGTCCGTGCCGGCGGTCCCTGCCTCCACCCTCCAGACACTGGGGTTGAGTCAACCTTGACAGAGGGTTCATACACCCCAAAGCAAAACAAAACACAGCCACACGTGTGGACCAATGCGAACCTACGCGACCCACCCGGTGTCCCCACAGGAGTCAGAGACACTGGCAGACAAGGTTACACGTGACCGTGGACGGCAGAACTCCAGCAGGGCTCCAGAGGGAGGTTGCTGTGAGTGGTGGCAGCACAGGGATGAAGTCTAGGAACCAAGGAGACCATGGCAGGTGGCGGCCAGGCGACCTCGGCAATACCTTTGTGCTTCTCGTTTATCAACAAAGAAAGGGCCCCATTTGGTGGGTGCAGTAGCCAGGGTTAGTGTGGCTCCATCTCCAAACATGTGGGCCTCACTTGAGAGGCCAACCTGCCTGCCATCGGCACCCAGACCCAAGGCAAGACAGGCCTTGCCTCGCACAGGTCTCTGCACCCTGGTAGGTAAACAGGACTCGGCATGGAAATGGGACAGGGCAGGGTCCCACCTCTGCTCGGCATGCTCCAGGGAGTGAGCTGATGGGCCAAAGCCACGACCCACACTCTCCTTGAGCGTGGCCAACCAGGGACACCTAGACCATGCCTGCTCCGGGGAAAGCAGTGCCCATAGTGATGTGCCTACAACTTCTTCCAACCAAAAAAATGTAGCATTTTCCTGCTAAGTTACAGCCTGTCTACCACCTCACGCCCACTAAAACGGGGATAATCTTTTAAAATATGGACAATACAGATGTTAGTGGTGATGCAGAGGAACCGCAACACTTATGCACTGCTGGGGGAGTGTCAAACGATTTAGTCGCTGTAGAAAACAGTGTGGCAATGCCTCAAAAAATTAAATATAGAATTA